ATTAAGAGGACATCTGGTGAATTAAGGGTTATGAACTGCCAAGCTCTATTGAAGGAAAACTACATTGCAGAAAAGGTCTCAGTCAGTGCTGAACATGAAAAAGAATTATGTAAAGATTAATTGTGGATAATGGTGTGAACCACCTTGTTATTGTGTAGTTTCAGTTTTCACATCAGAAGGAAAACAGAGGTGGTCTGAAAAAAATAGGATCGAATATAAATGAGAAGTTGGAGCTCATTCTTTATTTTCCATTGTTCTCTTGTTTTACTTTGGGCAGAAATGTAGAAAGGAGTGTGAATGCTGTGCATGGTTACGAAATTTGTCATTCAGAAACTTGATTAAGTTTCTGTATACAATAATCTTTCAAGAAAAGCAAATGACTGATGCACTGAAATTGGGCAGCTGGGATATTCCCAACCTCGTGCAAGGTGATAAACCACACTTTAAATAGACAGCTATTTGCAATTTCACTTAAGCAGAGCAGTATTTTGGCCCCAGATACACAGGTTTCTGATCCTTTTCCCTCATCCACAACACTTCTATTTAACTGCAACCAGTTTTGACCTCTCCCACTCCAAGCACAAGAAAGCTTTATCACCATTAACTGCAAGTCTGTTTATCAGTCAAGAGGGATACCCATATGGAAACATAGCTAGATGGCTAACACGCTCTTCCATGAGAAAAAAACAGCTTCTGCATTTATCTGGCTGACTAGGCTCAAGTATAATTCCCAGACTCTTCCTTAGGCAGGAGTTTTATGTAATGCCAAGAAGAAAACTACAAGGGAACTTAAGTAGACAATTGCACTGCATATATGTGTAATTGTAAGCTGTATGACCCACAGCTGTTGCAATAGCAACACAAGAATTTACACGGAGAGGGAGCATTTTTCCCCTGTTTATCATACATGGATGCTTATGTCTTCACTGATAATATTTTCTGGTATTTTCTTATGCACAGTAAAAACTAAAACTTCACAAATTTGAATTAGATTTTCATTAGAGTACATCTGGTGCTACACTCACAATATATATTGTACAGTTAAAATACCAGCATTCAGAAAGCTTATCATCCCTGCTGTACTAACTTTACAGTTTACAGTGACTGTTTCTGAATCTTCATTTCTTCATATTAGAGCATGCTGACAGCTTTTCTAAACAGCGTTCATAATAACACATATTCATAGAAACACAGAATCATAGATTCACAGAATCATAGAACAGTTTGATGGTGCTAATTGTAGATCAGGTATATCGACAGACTGAAAATACAATGCTTCAGTTTGCAAATTACTATGACTATAGCTACCAATTAAACCAGAGTTGGAAACTGCCAGGCCAATGCTTTGTTATACACTCAGTCTGAATGAGAACATGAGGAATATGATGCACTGTAAAACACTCTGCAAATGATCCAATACAAAGCAAGGCTAGTTGTATCTTCTGTGTGCTATGTGTACAACTATATACAGCTTCCAGCAGTGACCTCACTATTAGTTTCTCCAGAATAAGACAAAAAGGAATGACTGGGCAGATATTGGCTGAAGTGTTTAGAAAAGAACTGCCCCTTGGTTATGCCTCTCTAAGTGCTGTCCTCCCAGACTACTGATCCATTCCTGTACTATATAGTTTCATATACTTTCAGTGAAGCACTGTTCCATTGGAGAGGATGGTAAAATTCTCACTCTATTCAGTGAAATCAGGATTTAAGTGTACATCACATACTACAGCTTCACTACAACTACAATTCAACACCTGAAAACAAGATTACCTGGAAGCCCCTTGCTAAGGCTAAGGGTGTTTTCTATTCTAAGTAAAAAATTAACTTAAAAGGTCTTAAACTCCAATATCTTATTTTTTACCACACAGTCCTATTTTGGTGTACTCAGGAATTACCATATGCACACATTTATGGTGTTTAGTATCTTTAATGGGCATCTCTAAAAATAGTTTTATTTGCAGTTATTTATTCCTTTTAAATGATTTGATAAAAAATACCCTAACTATACAGTTCAAATGTGATCTTCATTTCTGTATTTGCTCTTGTCAGGGATGATGTTCATTACTAGCATTTGGAGATTTGGTGGTAAGCGTAAATTCTACTGTTCTTCACTTCTGTATCAGCAGTAGGCTTACTGCACCTTCTTAAAGACCTGCTTACACTTGACTCCACACACTCTTATTTCCTAGGAAGAGAAAATAATTAAAAAATACAAGTTAGAGCACACACATTATACATTCACAGAATCATAGAATGGTTTGGGTTGGAAGGGTTTTAAAGATCATCATTCTCTTCTCCAGGCTGAACCAGCCCAGCTTTCTCAGCCTGGCTCCAGAGCAGAGCTGCTCCAGCCCTCGCAGCATCTCCATGGCCTCCTCTGGGCTCGCTCCAGCAGCTCCATGTCACTGTTGTGCTGTCACCACAGATCTGGATCAGGACTGCAGGGGGGGGTCTCCCCAGAGCACAGAAAAGAGGGAGAATCCTTTCCCTTGACCTGCTGCTCCCTCTCTGGGGATGCAGCCCAGCACACGGGTGGTTCCTGGACTGTGAGCACACACTGCCAGGTTATGGGGAGCTTCTCATCATGGGCACCCCCAAGTCCTCCTCCTCAGTGCTGCTCTCCATCCATTCTCTGCCCAGCCTGTAGTTGTGCTTGGGATTGCCCTGACCTAGGTGCAGGACCTTTCCTCGCTCCTGAGCTTGCAGAAAGTGATCCTGCACGTTTTCTTATGGGAACTTTGATAAAATGACATATTGAAAAACACCTGACGCTAAGGCAATAACCTTACTGGCATATGTTACTAGTTCCTAGTAAGAGAAGGTGTTTCATGATGAATTGATGAAACAAAGACTGATACAGTGATTTTAGTCAGGACCTGTATATGGGCAACCTGAAAGAAGGAGTGTGCAATAAGGGTGAAGAGATCTGCTGACAGTGACAAAAACCTACAAAGCAGAAGCAGTCAGTACAATAGAAAAGGGCAATAAAACTCAAAAGGAAGTGGAGAATGGTCAAATAAGCCATTCACATAAAATAGACTCTACGGAGGAAAAAGAACTACAAAGTACAGACCATAGATGAAATGGAGAAAATAGGAAGCGATAAACTACTAAGAGATGTGGTACTACTTGCTACAGAACTGTGGAAAGAATTAAGTTAACACTTGGCTCATTGTGTAAAGTTCAATAGGATCATAAAGCTATCAAAGTATCAATTTTTTAGAGGTAATTACCCATTGTATCAAAGGGCTCTCAGGAGTCCAGGACCTAGTAATCTTAGCTGCTCAAAACCCAGATAGTAAATGGGACCCTTGTACTCTATGTTTAATGGAGAAAGTTACATTACTAAGGATCCAGAGAAATAAAAAAGACACCTTTTGAAGTTCATGAAATGTAAAAAGTGATCAGACTGAAATATTGGGGACTGGTCTCTAAAATACTTGGTTACTTCCTTTGCATGACGTAATTTTGCACTGACTTTTGTATACACGAGAGACAGATTGTGATAAACTATACAAGTGCCAATGAGTGCAGGGATGCCTGCATGAGCTGGCAGGTATAATACAGGACTTCTCACAGCCTTCTGAAAAAGCAGCCTCAGAGCAGTCAGGTTACCCTCAAGTGGCACTAGATACACGTTTGAGCAACTGAATCTGATTTTATGACTTCTACAACCAAACTCTTGACAGTGTCAGGTATAAAAAGTGGTCTGGCCTGCGGGTCCATGGCTAGGTTGCATGACTAGAGCATCAGTGTAAGGATAGCAGCCATCGGAGCTAAATAAAAAGGTCTTGGGGACAGGAAATGGGTAATGACTGTGGAGCAGGCAAGTGACAAACCAGGATGCCAATACAGATAAATCCAATAGCAGCTTGCGCTGTTGCTTCATGTGTGTGCAGATGAGTGCACACGTGTATGATTGCAGCAAGGTCTAAGTTAAACTTCTCAGTTGGACACTGTATGGCTAATGGCAAGCTGTTTGCCAGCAGAGAATCTGAAAGGCTTATGCTTGATGTCATGGCACCAACTGTTATGAGGCTGGGAGGCAGTATGGCAATACTGAATTGTGTTTGTGTCGAGACAGAGGGAATATGCGTACACAGGGAATTCTGGAGTCTCCTTTTCATTGCTCTCCCCCTACTTTCCGTGAGCCCATAACCTCAGCTGCAATGTGGTCCCTACACCACTTACCTAAACAGTGATGTCCTCCCTACCTGCATTATATAAAGTTTGTAGTTTAGATGGCAAGATCTGTCATATACATTCCTTTCCCAAACTGGTTTCTAGCATTTCCAGTACTACCTGAAAATTGTATTTAGTAGTAACAGGTCTGGGGTACTTTGCAAAGATTTCATAACTGTTGCCAATTTGAATATTTACAGAACATCAATTTAGACTGTTGAATGTTAATAATACTGAACAGTGGACAGAAATAAAGGTTGCATTTTATTATGTCAGCAGGAAGACTGCCTTTTACCCACAATGATGAGCTATAAACAGCTATGCGAGAAAAGAATAGAATCTTCTTTCAGGTCCTGTTAACTTAGGTAGAAATTATGAACTAAAAGATGACATTTCAAAAACTTAATTGCTGATTTAGTTCTCTAGGCACTAATGTGATCTGGCCTGTAATTATTGTAGAGGAACAATGGTGTATTTTCACCTTATGGCTTATTGTTGGATGCATAATTTCATCAGCTCCCATATTGCATAATTCACAGACTGTATGAAGGACATGCTGTTAAATGTCTTCTTCAGAATAAACATTTCAAACTGGTTTGTCTGGACAGGCAGCTAATACAGACAGTACTGCTTTGAAATCACGCAGTCTTTGTACAGGACATAAAACCATAATGGCTCCAAATTAAATTGTTGCTTAAAAAACAAGTTAAATGCCAAACCAATGCACAATTATGTCAGTGTAAGCCAAGATAACGTAGCACACAGCCTGCATTACATCTATTTTAATAGTGGCATTTAAAACCTGTTTATGATCTTACCAGGTGCATTTCATCTCCTTCAATCCACTGGGTCCAACCACGACCTTCTTTTTCTCCATTCTGTACACAAAGAAGTTTATCTCCATCCCAAGACACAGTGGTCTAACAAAATAGACATGATCAGTGTTACTGTAGTGTTCTCTGGTACTATGATTACCTTCCTTAAAGCAGAACTTCTCTCTAATGTAATAAACGATTAACATTTATCTTATAAGAAGAATAATTGCAGAGTGTCGTAACACTTAGGATAAATACAAAAGAAATGAGCTTAAAGAGAAAGCTGCTGCCCAACTGCCTGTCAAAAACCTGGAAGGATGAGATAAAGCTGTTTAAAGGCAAGAAAAATATGTTAAAACTAATTGCACTCTTCCCTTCCTTCTGAGAGTTAAGAGCAGCAGAAAGGAGGTGCAGCCTGACACTGTATCTGCAAATGGAGCTGAAAACTTGAGATTCAGTTTGTTTTTTCCACTGTAAGAAGGATTCCCCAGCTGCTCTACTTGAAAGAGTACCACCTCCTGGCAGCTATGGATGAGCAAGGCTTTTTGAATCCTGTGCTGTTCTTTCCCCATGTCTTAATCTGCTGTCATTGAGCAGAGCAGTTTGGAAGCATCAGCAAATGGGTAACTTGCCAACATCCTGCTTTGTGTAAGAGTAGCAGGAGAGCTACTTGAGCCAGGACTGACAGAGTAAGAGTGCAAGGTTTGACATAGCGCTGCTGCGAATATTGGTGCTGTCCTGAGTTGTTCAGTAGATTTTGATTCAGAAAACTACTTAAATGTATGAGGGTGCATCTTACAGTCTTTACTGACACTTTGCCTTCCACCTCTCCCTAAGATAAAGAGAAGCAATGCTCAGTAAAATATTTAAACAGGGAAAGGGAATAGTGGCAACAATTTGTGCTCCATGAGGATAGTTTAACATCAATATTAACACATGGCTTTTAAACCAGCTTTTTGGAAGTGAAGCTGAGGACTAAATATGGATTTAGTGTCTACCCTGTAAAAGTCTTCAGCCACTGCCTTTATGAGCAGTCAAATGTGGAGAGAAAATAAATTCTGATCTATCAATAAGGGAAAACTTAATGGATCCATCCTGTATAGTTTCTAAGAAGTCAGCCTACATTTGTCATTCTGGGAACTAAACCCTGTTCAACACTGAAGAACTATGCAGCCCTATTTATTTCATTTCTGTATGTCACAAACTATTAATTCTTAAATGATAACCATGATAGCCACTATCTTTACATGGGTACAGCTAGCAGTCTCCTCCTCTGGGAAGCTTTAGGCTAAACAAGCATGGAAAATTAATTACTAAAAAGAGTTCCAGCACAGACAATTATAGGCAAGGCATTGTTATTGATCCTATATAGTCTGTTTGCACCATTTGGGGTCTCTGAAAGACAAACTCTTGTGTCCTTGCTAAAAATCTCTACAATTTGGAAAATGCATTCACAAATTCTTCTGTTTGCTCTTGTAAAATGACATATTTAAACCAAGTAGTAGGTAACTTTTTTAAAAGCCATATGCTTATAAAGTATAAAATGCTAATGCAGGAACATTTGGGTAAAGCTATTTAACATATGTAGTTAATGTGGTCATCATAGTTTAAGCCCTCTTCTATGTCTGATTTGAATCTGTAGACTTCCAGTTGGAGATACAAGGTAAAAATTAATACTAGTCAAAGTGAAACTTGTTTAATTTGTAAGTTAACCTATCAAAGAAATTCTGATGATTCTAAACAATATATCAGAAAATGAACATTATTTCTACTGATGACTTGTAGATGTGAGGAATACTGGGAATGAAGCATTTGTATTTACAACTTCGTTTAGTAACAGCACTTATTTTTATCCATTGAGTATTAGTTCAGAATAGTTTAACCACTAAACTAGCTTAATAGTTAAATTTAGTGGGTTTGTGTGTGAATTCAAAAGCAATATACTGTGATAAAGTAAGATCCAACTTTATTAGTACTATTAATGTTCTAAGTCAGTTGAGGAAGTTATTAGTCTTGATAATGCTCACTAGCTTAGTACACTTGGGGCAATTGAGAAATATTTGTATCATTGCAATGAGATGTTAACTTTTTCAGCCTCCAAGGGTGATGGAAATTGTTTCATCTCAGAAAACAACACACTTTTTTTTCGAGTCAAGATTACATACTGCTTTTGGCAATTTGGTGATAACCACAAAGAGTGCAATCCCACAGACCGTTAACCAAGGTGTTCTATCATCCAATATTCTCAGTTACCATCCTCTCTCTTCCCTTTGAGAAATATAAATACTGAAGAGATACGAGTAAATCATACAGTTTCTGATTTTTGTATATGGCTGGTTTCCTATGAAGGTTATAAAGGAGAGAATAGATTGCAGGAGAACACAATGTCCTCTTCTTTGTTAGCAGGAACAACCACTTGATGACAGGAAGATTAATCAGTACTGTTTTTATCTTCCTTTCTTTAGGTCAAACTGTAATGTCTCAGCCAATAAAAGACACAACTAATACAGAAGAAGGAAACTTCCCTTTTAACTCAGATTGAAATAAGTCCTTCCATTCTAAATCTCTCTATTGAGACACACATTGTGCATTAGTTTGGGTTGGAGTTACTGTGGCTGTTATACACTGGCTGCTTCTAATAGTCCACCCTTTACCAGCAGCAAGTACCTGCCTTAGAACATTTCCAAATATTTGGGTCAGAACATTACAATAACAGTAACAAAAATAATATTTAAAAAATAACTGTATTAGTAAATACAATCTCTTTTGTGGTATGTAAGAGCAACGATTCATTTTTAAAGATCAGATCAGGATAATGCTGTTGTATAATTAAGAGTCAAGCACTTGACTGACCAGTAAAGCAGCTCTGTATGAACCTTTAGCTGCTGTTGTTCTCCTCTCCCACCAAACACATATTAAGAAGAAATGCTTTCTATGTAAAGCAGCTTTTCTTAGAATAGTAAGCTTTTATAGTTAACCACGTTTGCCACCATTTTAATACTAGCATTACCTAAGGTTTGCTTGATTACAGAGCCTGAGCTACTGTCCTCTGTCTGGGACAACTGAAAATCTTTGCCAGAGTTTGGTGTCCACAGCATCCCAGGCACACAGTTCCTATTCTTCACCTTCCTCCACAAGCAAGAGGAGGAGAAGTAGATAAACTCTGAGGACATTGGAAAGCTGCAGTTTCCTGATGGCCACAGAACCAACTAGATGAAAATGCAGTTTTTCTCTAAAACTGAAGGCTCCTACCTTGTACTACTTGTAGGATAAATGGAAGACTTCATTTATTCCTTTCGATTAAGTAGTATATAATCTAGTTTGTCATAAGCAAGTTAAAGTTTTGCTTACTTACTACATAATCATACAAATACTTATTGGGTCAAATGCATATAATTCTGTATGAAACTTCAAAAGAAAAGAGTGATTAATGTCATTAGTTAATAGTGTGATTAAAAATACCGAAGGAGCACAAGAAAACTTAATGGAGAGATAAGAGTGAGTCTTGCCTCAATTTAACTTTTGTCAAAAACTGTAACCACTAATATTGCACATCTTTTGGATTATATACCCTTTATTCTTGCTGAAGAGAGCTCCTCTGGGAGGTGAAGAAGTCTTTGAAGCTTAATAACACAAAAAATGTTCACATTTTCTTCAGTTACATGATATGATTTCCTTAGTCTTACACTTTTTTTGTGTATTTAGGTATTTTCCTTTTAGTACTTTGCCATTTACATACTTCTGTTAGTGATTTAATCTTTGTGTTATGAAGATTCTAATACATGTGCATAGCAACACCACCTTCCTGAAAATTAGAGCTCAAAGAAATGATCAAGTATTCTCTTACTGTTTTCAGTTTTGAGACAAGGCAGATTTATTAAATGAACTATTAAGTAAAACCAAACCAAATCTGACTGTGTATCTGCACTTTCTCTAGGCAGCAGTAACAGTAATAAAGTCCTGCAGAATTACAACAGGTATTACTTCCAGCTTGTAGCAGCAAGTCAGACTGACCCCTAGCCAGAGATGCTGACTTTTATGATTTACTGAAAGAATCATGAACCTATTTTATCAGAGAACTTTGCATTTCCCAGTGAGGTCTAAGTGCAAAAACATTTGATGCTGGCTATCCCTAGCATGCAGTTGAAGATACCTAATGCATTTTACAGGTGAATGAAATAAAATACCATTTTTTAAGTAGCCCACAAAGATTTTTTTGTTAATGCTACATAGATTTGACACACTGCATTTACAAACATGAATTGCAGCTACCATCCTTTATAAAAAATATGTTATTGATTTCCCATCTGTAGGAGAAATATATATCAGTATTAGTTCTGTTCTTCTACTTCCCTTCAGAGTGTGTTCTCTATATGGTGCTGCAGAAAATGACTGCAATGCTCTAAACCAGCAATGACGCACTCCGCGCTCCATGTCAATCCAGTAATTCTCCACTTATGAGCATGACTAGTCATTTTACAACTGTACTTAAAATTTAAGAAGGATTAAACAATGGAAAGGAACTGTTTAAGTCAGGTGACACAGTCAAATCTATCTTGAGCTGTACCTTGTATTGTATTTACAAAAAAACACCAAAGAAAATAGCCTAAAATTTTTGATCAATCATGGCAACTTATCCAACAAGGTATTGAGTAGCTTCTCAAGATACAGCATTTTCATCTGTACCAACTATCTTTAAGCTAAGCAGTCTGCAGGGGAAATTTTCATCAAATGAAGTCCTAATGGAATAAACCGATGTTGATATTACAGGCAAAATCAAATGTAACTAGGAAGGGGCATTCTGTAATGTTGTAGTTACAACCTATGACCTATGTGCATTGCTAACAGCAGGGATACAACCATGTTCAGGGTTTATCATCTCTTCATCCTATAACTTCTTTTACGTCATCAAATCTCCATCTCGCATGTTAGTGACAGCCAGATAAACTATTGAGAAAACAACAACAAAGCCAATAGAAAATATAGTGGTAGTGTTCCTAGACTTTATCTATATAAATTGCTAGAAAAAGGCTTTACACACTTAGCCATCCTTTAGCTAGGTTGAATGATACAATGTATATCAACCTTTCTTTCCCTTACTAACT